CTGACAGTTTTATTTGTACGCCTTATCATTCGGTGTATTGCATTCACAAATTGGGTCGTTGCTTCATTATAACATTGTGATTATTTACTGAACTAAAACAAGAAAGATAGAAACGTGCGATCGATTCTTGAGTAACTAGATAGAATAGTCGGAGCAAGTAGCAACAACTTTGGTCAGTGTGTACATTGACTAGCCATATCTTTATACATAAGAACAAAACGCGCTGTTTAATATACCTAGATCATCACTCAAGAACTTGGCGGAGAAATATGTAAATTTTCAAAGATTCGCGTTTTTATTTGTTGCACTTACATAACACAAGGAGCTCTGCAGATCATAAATTCTTAGTTTATATCTACTTGGAGGGATAGATCAATTTCCGATAATTACGTTATTACCAGCTACAACACAGTCATGTATTATATCTCGGTGTCACTTAAATGAACTTCAGTAACCTTCAGAAGTTGCTTATCAATGTTTCCTCACGGGAAGTCGAATATTACTTTGAGTGCTGGAAAGCGCGGTGTTCATCAAGGTGCCTGGCATCTTTATCACTGCAACTGGTGAAGAGGCCCATGGTTTGCTGAAGACTCCTGCACCTCCTGAAAACCGCATCTTTTTGTCATATGAAAACTTTGAAATCTTCTAATGGGCCATATTTGAGACACCTGCTTTGAAACAGTCAAGAGAACTTAGATAAATAGGCTTGTCTGTGTTCTCACCCAATAGATTCAGGAATTTGTTCTTCACTTACTACCACAAGAGTCTAAGTGTAATTTTAGTGACCACTTACAGACTCAGCTACACGATCACCTAACAGCCCGTACTAATATTCCGAAGCCTGAGTCGGAGTTGATCCATATGCCTGTTTGCTTATTTTAAAATGCCAAAAGACTTATGCATCACCTACGAAGATGTCAGTAAGGATAATCCAACTCAATCCTTATCCTGGTCTGATGTAATGCTCTCCAGTGTTCGTAATACAGTTGCCAACCACAAAAAGCCAAAAAGTCATCCACATTCTACGGATTACATATAAAAGATAGCACACACACTTCGTCAACCACCCCAAGTAAAGATGGGATCAGATCATGTCATTCATGTGGAACACTTCACTTTTAAAATACTTGTCGCTTTTTTAATGCTAACTGACACAAATTGGACACATAAAAAACATTTTCAGATGTTTAAATACACAGAATACTCTGACTTTAATCCCTCTTCCGATACACCTACTCAAATGACATCACCATCTTCAAAAGTTCAGAAAAACCATTTGGATTTTGTGAATAGTTTCAATACTTGGTCCGGCAAGTTTCACTCACTTATTATCGACACTGGAAGTATAGAGTCTCATACGTCTAAGAAGGATTTTATGTTACTCTGTGATGATGCACAGTTGAAACCCACCACTAGTCTAGTCACAGGCATAACTGGCCAGAAGTTACCTATCGCTGATACAGTTGATGCTCATTTGAAGACATAATGATCGCTTTGTAAAGTTTTTTTTCCGTATTAGCAAATACAGTTCATCCATATTAAGACAGAAATCCCTTAGAATATTTGAGCTCCATATATCAATTTAAACTAACTGATTCCTTAGAGCCTTTCTGAAAGAACTAGTCATATGTTGTTCAAAGTCTGTATTTGGCAACAACATTCAGCCAGTACAACTTCAAATGAAGGGAAATCCTGTTTGGCTGAAGCGTTGACTGATTCCTTATGGCTTAAGACAAGCAGTTTAGAAGCGGTTTGATAGTTTGCTTAATACCAGTTGAGCCTTCGAAATGGGCTACTTCTATTGTGATACCACTAAAAGCGGATAGAAAGATACCAACAATCTGTCGTGATTATTGTCTAGCACTTGAAAACTGATTACTAGGCCATGGCTGCATTATAGAGGAAACCAAGGATATATTTTGCAAATTATGTGATTCGAAATACTCCAAAACTGATCTAAAGGATGTATGTTTCTAAACTCCTGTCGATCAAGGCTGTAGTGAACTAACCACCATTAGTACTACATTTTAGATGCTTAAGTATAAATTATTACCCTTTGAATCAACAGTGTCATTTGCAATATTTCAAAAGGCTCTAAATCAGATTATAGATGGGTTAGATAGTCGTGTATCATAACAAGATAGTTCATGGTACAAATACCGAACTGCTTAATGAGCGCATTTTGAAACTATCCATGTGTTTCTGTGATAAAAAAGAATACAGCCTATTGAAAATTTCTATCAAGATATTTCGGAAAATTGGCTGATTGAGAGAAGAAATATATTTCTTTTTAATTAGGTCTTTGTCCTAGGCTTTACACCAATATGTTGTCTTACGATTCATACCAAAATACCAGTCAAGTTGGAGGGGTAATTAATGGTGACTATAGGTAAATTCCAATCTAAAATAATTATAGATTTCAAACAAGCCATGAAGGTAATAAGTTTGAGAAACCAAAATGCAAATAATCAGCAGAGTAATTTTACGGAGTAAAAACGATATTAGTTATAATGATTTAGAGCCGATCATTCTTAGACAAAAGGCATGGCAACTGGCAAAGTAAAGAGAGTGTTATTTTCTGGAGTGGTTAGTTAGAAACAATTAACAACTAGTCAAGAAGTATAAAGCAAAAGAATACCGATAGAATAAGAGGAGAAAAGGGTAAAGAGTTAGACTATGTTTTGCTTCATGTTGATAGACACAGTTATGTAACTGGCTATGCAAAACTTTTTTGAATTCAAAGGTCAGGTCCATAAAGGTGGATTACACTGTGAAGTATACGAGTGTATAATCCATGTGGTTAACTTACTGTTAAAGGATAATTTATTTTAATATCTAGTGCCAACTAAGTGTGCAAGTATGGAGCTCTTTACTGTTTCAAAGATGCAGGCCCATTTGAAGAAATATATTGCTTTGCTAAGTGTTCCTTAAAAACTTAGTTTTTAACCAAACCAAACACCACTTTTATGTGGCATCTGTATTGCGCTTAGGATACATCGTAGACTCCACTGGTTATAATGTTGATATGTGTCATTTCACTCTACTGATTCAATCAAATTCAATGACAAGTATCCCATCTTTGATATCATAGGTTGGTACTTTGCAGTTTTACTCTAGATTCATTCCTAAGTGAAACTATTGTTGCTAACTTCAAAGTCGTTTTTATTCAGAAATTTGTCTGACAACAATACCATGGGAACATCTGACAAAATCCTTGAAGTTTCTGAATAGCCAAGCTTAAGATATACCTCATATGGAGTTTCTGTTGCTTTTAACAGTTCTTTCACCGATGTTGAGAGTTTATTAGTTTGTGCGTTATCTGTTGATAGGATATGGGATTTTCTGCATTAGAATATCCTCATTCTGAACACCTGGGAATTGAAAAAAATAAAATCACCGGCACACTGCATATATTGCTGGCCGGAAATTGATGTTAGTACTATGAAAAGGTCAAAGTGTTGTTGCATTTATCTACATGAAACGGTGTATAGAAAGTAATTATGGAATCCATAGCCTGCACCTTGTTCGGCATTGCAGCTCATTCATCCAGATCACTGTCGGCTCTTCTTAAGCTCACAAGTCCTTCAGTTATAACTAACTCTTATTTTAAATGGCCAGAAGTATTACTTACAGATATTTCTAAGGCAAAGTTCACATGCAGAAAGCTGAAGACGACTTTTTGTCATAGGAAAATGCCTTACGTCTTAGACATGAACAATCAAACTCATTTCACTGAGATGAACTTCAGTAATTGATTTAGTGGTATTGTTTATCTCCATTAGTATACGTCTCCCCGTCATGTTCAGTCAAATAGGTCGACAGAGAACCTTGAGTAAACACTGAAGGGTGCTAAAGCATCGGTAGACCCAAGCAATTTAGAAGAACTGAAAAGGTGTGCTGATAATTTTCTACTTCAGTGTCAGGATGTGAGACATACATCTTCTCACGAAAGTTCATTTAAACTCTTCAAATCTCTCATCTTTTGAACACTTTTGATGACCATGATTCGATAAGACTTAAACTACTTTCAAAAACTTGATAAACGGTCGTCAGCGAGAGTTAAACTATAGAAAAGGAGAAATCGGATGGTGATTTTCAACTTGGAAGATCATTTTGTTTACAACAGACACACAAATCAGATGGAAATCAACCAAGTGGGTCATTCGACTGATAACTCTAATGATCCCCTCACTGACCCCAATTTTGTAGACACTTTTGAGGTTCGACTGACACTGCTTGTTTACACAAATAATAGTACTTAAAATTGTTATGCTAATTTGTTGCAAAAAAATAAGACACTTGCAAATAAAACTTAAGCTCATTATGAATATGCAGGAAAAAATTAAACGTCTGGAGGAAATGGTGAATGACTATTTCAGTTATTGTGCGGTATATATTTTCATACACTCTTGATTCCACTTCTCGCATTTGCAACGTGGTTTGTTGTATACAAGGAGATTAACTGATCACAAATTCTTGGTTTCCATTTATTTGATGTGATAGTTCCATTTCTGATAATCCCATTACCCACTACGATATAACCATCTATCACAGTTTTAAACACAGTTGTTTCCTCAATGTCATTTCGAAATAATGACTATCTTCTAGGAATTCATCTACCTAAAAATCAAGGATAATTACTTGTTGGGGTTTCAGGGGAAGGATATATTTACTCAGTAATTGTTTTCCTTTTTCAAACAAATGTTATTGTTACACAAAATGATCGTTACATGGTGAGAATTTCAAACCTTTTTCACTACCATCCCTTAACCTCTTAGAAATCAATTACTGACTTCTTGAAACAGAGTACCAATTTATGCAAAATGAAATGCGATTGATCAAAACTTTATAAACTTCAGTAACTGTTGACAATCTCCATCATTAATGTAAGCGAGAGTATAATAAATAGTTTGAATGAATGATGTTAACTAGCAGCTAGAAATTTCAAATTTCATGTATGTTACATTTTGTTCAGGAACAAATCCTTTTATTTGACTTACCTGAGGTACATAGGGGTGAAATTTAATGGAATGGTATTATCCTCTTGAACGTGAGCATCATCTGAATTATTCGAAGAGCGGTTTTCTAAATCTGATACATGTGGACCAGCAGGTAACTGTATGTCATCAAGATTCTGAGAAGACTCTTTTCTGAGGACACAAATTTCTTTATTGTTTTGTATATTACTGTGCATATTTATTGGTGTGACCGTATTCACACTCCGTTGTTCATACAGATTAATTACTGAAGCAAAACTGTTATGATCAACAGATGATTCAGAGTCACTGTTTTCCATCATTCATCAAATAGCAGCGCGATAAAATATCTCAACATTCATAAATACCGCCAGGAAGGAAGTTTGTCAAGGTGATCTTCAAAATTCACATGATTTTCAAAGATTCTTGTCACAATAGAATAATCTTTCACTTAACTAGTTCCCGCACCTACAATCGGTGAGTTGTACGTTCGCATGTCGATTGGTAAGAAATCGCGTGCTATTTGAAAAAGGGAATGACTTTTAACGTTCAGCTAGATTCTTAGGATTTTTTGTGTTTACACATCAAAGGCTGTTGTATTTTTGCTCTTGTCAGAATATTATTCGATTAAAGCCAAACAGGAACACTTACTGGGTGGATTTCTGTAGTTTCTGCTACGTGGTGGGCCAAAAGTGTCGAGAAAATGCCTGTGGTAGGGCCGGGTGCCACTTCACAGTGGCCTCTGGTATGCAGTGTGTCGAGTGTAAGAGTTGGCTCTACGATGGCTGCACAAGCCTGACACCCTCAGCATATAAGAGGTATAGCAATGCAGGAAGTGTTTGGCTTCGTGCGTCGTGTTCCCTGGATATTCGCACCCTGGTAGAAGGAGCAAAAACGCTTCAAAGTGCGATAACTAAGAAACTGTAGTCAAAAGCCAAAGCCGATAACTGTGGCAGTGATAACGACACAGCATCTGCTGACACGGGGACTGTTGTGCAAAATCTTGGGAACGTCTCACGACAGGCTGTAAGTCGGGTGCGTAGACTACCTACTAGGTTTGCTGACAGCGACTTGTAACGAACTACACCAAGAGAATATCCTCTGGGTTTCGCATCCCCAGAGCTGGTAGGCCCAGTCTGAAAACTGGCTGACCGTAAGGCTAAGTCTATTTCAGATGAAAGGAACAGGAGCAGAGCGATCTCAGTGCCAACGATGGGGCCGCGCAGGCCACAGATCACACCCAGCCCGGCGGCCAAATGAAGGCCGAAATCTAAACGGGATGGGATAGGATGCAAGTCTGCTCTGAGGCTATCAGTGTCAAGGACAATGGACTAGGCTTCAGTGAGCTCTGCATGCCCAACTCAGAGAAACGGCCAGTAATCAGGTTCAAAGGGCATGCCAAGAAGCCGATAACGGTTATCGAACAATCATCAATCCACAGAGCAAACATAAAGTAGAGCACCTTGATAGTCTTGTAATCTTCCAGAGAGTGGGAGAAAGAAGAGACCCAAAGCCGCCTAAACGTTTCGAACATGACCTTGGCAAGGTACAAAGTTTGGTAAGCCAGCTTTCACCCGAAAATGTGCCCGGGGTCACCCTACTCAAGAAACGTAGAGCAGGCAAAAAGGAGACAGTCCCTTCTGAAAACAGATATCGACTACCTAAAGTCGTGCTCAGGTCAACAGATAAGACGGATCAGATTCTGAGGAACTCTCATAAACTCCAATGGTCTGGAGTGTTCGTGTATGAGGACTTGGCTCTAGCGGATCGAATCCAAAAACGAGAAGCGGAATTAAAATCCAGATTAGCAGCTGGAGAGCAAAATCTGAAAGTAGTGGGTCTTCGTGTGGCGAGGTTTCGGCAACAAATGATGCCGAAGCCTCTTTGGGCAGGGTAGAAACTCCTTTAAGCAGTTTCACTGTCTTGTACACAAATGCGCGTAGTCTTTTAAACAAGTGAACTGAGCCTAGCAATGTGATAGGCAACGAAAGTCCCTACATCATTGCTGTCTCAGAAACTTGGCTGTCTCTTGGGATCAGTGCCTGTGAAACACACTCACAAGGATTCGCCCCTCATAGAAGTGACAGGTTGGCACGCAAGGGTGGTGGCGTCATCCTTTACGTTAAGAATTCCTTAACTGTAAATCCATAGAAAAAGTTTCACATGAAAGCGGGACATGTGAAATGCTGCGCTGCCAGCTAAAATGCTAGGGGGGAAATATTGACGTAATCGTAATACGTCGAAGCCCTAAATGTGAGGTAGTAGACTTCTTTCTGAATAAACCGACCCTCTGGGCAGATAAATGCCAATGTCTAGTCGTAGGAGACTTCAGCGCACCATCAGTTTATTGAGATAGACCAGTAACAGAAGCATCAAGTAATTCGTTTGGCCACAGGTTAGTGTAAACATCAGCTATTTAACCCTCATACAGCATATTAGGACACCAACCAGATATGATCATCAGCACGCACCATCAGTTCTAGACCTAGTATTCTCACATAAGGATAATGTGTGCCTCATCCGGCGCCTATCACCCCTTGGTAAAAGTGGTCACGCTGTGATCATCATCAGGTTCACAGCAGATATCTTGCACCAGATCGATTCCCCAGCTAGACCTAACATATGGAGAGTGAACATGGAAGGTAATAACCCGACAGCCTCTTCGGAGGACTGGACAGTCACTCCAGAAGCCTCAGATGGAGGTGTGTAATGATCGTACCAACAGCTATACGCACGAGCGACCCAAACGCTCATCCCGTAAACTGTTCCTAGATGGCGGAAACGCTGTCCTCCATGGATAAACTACGGAAAAAGTGTTAGAGTCTTGCCACCCACCTTAGTACACCCGAAGTGGTGAAGTATTACGAACAAACCCGCAAAAAATGTATCGCTTCTATCCGCTGGTCTCCAATTTGCTTTGAAACACGTCTTGCCCAGGCCAAATTGCAGCATCCAACGGGGTCATTTTCTTATATGAACTATCGAAATAAGGCGTACTGGGGTATGCCCGCCCTAACAGATGATACAGAAAAATACTGTTTGACTGAGGGCAATACAGAAAAAGCTGAAGCCATGGCTAAATATTTCGCTGAAATCTTCTCATAGGAATCTTTTGTGGACACTTATTCAGCAGTGGAAGCGTTGACATCCAACAGAATAAGCTCTGTGGGTATCGGTCGTGGTGATGTATTTCGGATATTAAGTAATCTCGGCGTGGAAAAATCAGCGGGACCGAATGAGCCGCACCCAAGGCTGCTCAGAAAGCTTGCACTCTATGTAGCCGGCCCACTGACTATTATATTCAGACTGTCTCTCGGTGTAGGCACACTCCCCTATGACTGGTGGGACTGCATAGTTGCACCTATCCATAAGGCAGGTTCTGGGCAGCTCCCATCAAATTACAGACTGGTAAGTTTGACTAGTATTATGGTGAAAGTCCTAGTAGGAGCTATCAAGAAAGCCATCACAGCCCATTTAGACAGAAATACTCTATTATCTCCTTTGCAGCATGGCTTTTGTAGAAATTTCTCCTGCCTGACGAACCTCCCTACAGTTAGAAGAAGTCAGGTTAAGTTTAAAGATGGTAGAATACCTGTAGATGTCATTTTCATAGACTTCAGTGCGGCGTTCGGCAAGGTACTTCGTTCCAGGTTGCTCGGGAAACTGGAAAGTCCTGGAAGCATCGTCAGTCTACTTGCGTGGGTGGTAGGAGGCAAAGAGTAAGGATAAATTCGCACCTCTCAACTTGGAAACCGGCAGAGAGTGCGGTGCTGCAAGGCACAGTCCTGGATCCACTGCTGATACTCCCATACGTAAACCAGCCACTAAATATCACGAAATCTTCTACGGTTCTATACGCCGGTGATTTTAAAATCTAGCGCGAAATAGGGAACGATAAGGATATATGTGCGCTTCAGGCAGATCTGAACAGCTTGTTTGCCCGGTCAGGGAGGTGGCTGGGCCCTGTCACTGCAGGTGAATGTGTGAGAGTCCACTTATGGCACACACACGGCAGCACCTACGATACTGATGAGATTCCTCTACCGTCATTACGGACCCACAATGACCTAGGAGTCATAGTCAGTTATGACGCGGAAGCCATGGCACACTGCCGATTGATGGTAACTTGGAATCTTAGGACACTTTGGGCATTACGTAGGATGCAGAAAAATATGTGGTGACATGTTCACCACACCATTCACCCCCTTAGGTCTGAGTTAGAAGCCAGGCGGCAAATCCTCGTCTGAAAGGTGACGCAGACCTTCTAGAAGGCGCTCAGAGGGCAGCCATTTGTGGGATCACTGCGATGGCTGGCCTCCTTTTTGAATCTCTTGATCCTATCGTATAGCAGACAGAGGTTAGACCTATGCCCTGCGGGGATTCTGAGAAACGGCTTCGGATCTGATCTATCTTCTCTCTTCCTTCCCACTCAATTGGGACACCTCAGCGGACAAGGTAGGAGAATACAAAGCAACTAAGGAACACAGTCATTATAGAGTGCTGATTGTCGCACCGAGCAATCAACTCCTGAAATCGACCTCCAGAACATCATCATCATCATCAATTGGCTCGTTTAAGAGGGGCCTGGATGGGCACAGAAATCTGTTTGAAAGGGATTGATACAGGCCCTCAGCCTCATATCCTCCAACAACAATTCTGAATCTTGACTTGCTTTTTACAGCATTACTGTCAATACCACGGGATTGATGTGATTGAAGCAGCTCATACCAGCCTTCTCTACCCCTGAAACTAAAGATAATAGTCGAGTATTCATAGGGGTTTAGCCTCATACCATTCAAAAAAATCACTTGCCACTTTCAGACAAGAAACCAACTATGTCAGTGCTATCTAGGTTGCATAACGAGCATGGAAGCCAACAGAGCATCAGCATACCTATTAAAATCTGCCTCAGCAGAATGAGGTAAGTTATGAGAAAAACAAGACGGAAAGGCACTGCACTCCGAGGCACACCGGCTTTGACAAGCAAAGAAGTGGAGCTCTTTCCTTCATAAATGGTATGCCTCTTTCTCCCAGAGAACTAAATGTGCGGCCATTTTGTATCCAGTGCCTCAGTATGGGCGGTATTTGGCTTGTTTACTAAGGGTGGTCTTAGAGCAGAGTAAAAGGTGGATGTATAACTTAAGGAGACACAGTGAACATACTCGGCACCTCTGTCTAGACTGGAAAGCAGTGTATTTTCTGTGTCCGCAAGTAAGTTTTTTGAACATCAAAACGCCTTCAACGAAGATTTAAGCACAAGTAGAAGTAATTTCCCCAATGTCTTCATAAAAGGGGAAGTGACAGCTATGGTTCCGAACTAAACGCCGGATCCAGAAAATGATTCAGCCATAGGCGCAGCCTCAGCC